AGAGAGAGAGAGAGAGAGAGAGAGTGACAGAGAGAAGCTGCTCGAACAGCAGCTGCATCCCAGGCAGAGCCCAAATGAATAGAGAATCGGTTGTGGAGCCAAAACCACAGGCAGCCAACCAGTAAGCCACCAGCCCAATTCTGCCTTAGCCCCTTCCCGAGCCGCATTTGGGCCTTAAAGTGAGCGGAGCTCATTGGAAACACGCGAGTCTAAATGGAAACGGAAATGGTTGTGGATGTGGATGTGGAAGTGCACGTGGAGAGAACAGCAGCAGCGCCATCTGTGAGTTGAGTTATGTGTGTGCCTGTTTCTTTCTCTTTCTACTTCTCCTTCTCTGTCCTTGTGGCTGTGCATCTATCTCTGTCCCCGTTCACAGGGTAGCAAATTGATTTTGACCAAGATTCATTTTCAGATCTGTCCACGTTCTCACTCTCTTTCTCATTGTTGTTGCAGCTTTTCATTTGGCATTTTCCATTTTCCATGGTGCGACTGCTGCTGCTGCTGTTGCTCTTGCTGGAGCCTCTGGCAGTTAGTGAAAATTGTCCGCTCGCTTCGCTGATTGTTTATAGAAACGTACGGCAGCCGTACAATGTCAGTCATCAGAGGCAGCCACAGTCACATATAACAAGCAAGAGCAGCACTCGATCATGGTGTTGCGTCAGGGAGATACCTGGTACTCAGACTGGGATATAAACTCAAATGAACATTATAGGTTCTAGGTTAGGCTACGGTGGTAGCGGGGGAGAGGGGACGAGCCTTCCCCAGCTCACTTGGACCTGTTAAAGGTCCCTTGAGATAAGATACTCGCACAAACCGGAGAAAAAGAGACGGCATTAATGTCGCAAACATTTACAAAGATTTACCCGATCGGGTGGACAATAGATATACCTTGATGACATCTTATTAAACTACATCTTATCTTAAACATATGTGTTCTATGAGCATGTGGTAGGGTGGGGCGCCATCTACTTGTGGCATACACTCGAACAAACACAACAACTCTTCCGGTCTACGCGTCCGGGGTATAGTAATTGCAGGTCTCCTCTGACAGCAGCAGAGTTAGAGGCAGCTCTAGCTGCACTTAGCGACATGCAACGTTTGACTTCTCATTGGCCGTGGGTCAGTTGTTTGGTGGGAATTCCGCCCAGTGAGCCCAGTGCGCCCAGTGGGCCCAGTGGGACGGATGGTGGGAGGCGATGGGTGGCGTGGGTGGCAACAACAGCAGCAACAACAAATTGTCATTTTCATTCGTGCTCAGGTGAGCAGCCAGCACCAGAAGCAGCAGCAGCAGCCAGCAGAAACATTTGATGAGTGCATTATAGCATTCATCATAGCTGAATGATTTTGCTGACCATAAGTGGAGGTCTCGACGATTGTTACCGCGATTATTAAATACAAAAATGTACCTACATTAATAATAAATTTACGAGTGTATATGTATGTACACGTAAGTAGATCCATGGGCATCTAGGGCAGCCGAATCATGAATGATTCCGCCGGTATTGAATGAAAAGAAGACCAAGGGAAAGGAAATGGAGTCCGACGGAGTCCAGATATGACATGACACTCGTACTCGTGTGGGGGCGAAAATGTTTGGACATTTAGTTTAACCATAAACAAATCTTGGCGCTGAATGAATTTCTATTTGAAGCCCAGAAAAAAGTAATATGATGACTGCCTGCGATATGCAATGCAAACAGAAGCAGAACCATATGTACATTCGAAGAGCTCCAAGGAGCGGAGAGCCTACAAGAAGACAATACGACCAAAATAAAGATGAGTAGCAAGGGGACAAACTCAGTGAAGGCAATACGCAAGTACATGACATCCGAAACCCAGATAAATTGGATTAGTAAGCAACGATAATAGTGCTTTATCAGAACGGCGACAGAAGGGCACTTGAACGGCAGGAGTAACGGAGATGAAAGACTCAATGCGTTGGCTATGGATTAGGATTGGGGTTTCAGCGCAAGCCAATCACGATCGGATGACTAACAAAAACATTTGTATATTATTTATACCCAGATCGTTCGATCCGAAACCATTCCTCTGCCGTTCTTGCCACCTTCCCTTCCCACAGGGCCCCCAAGAGTCGTCGTTTTGCCTTAGCTCTGAGTGATATGTGGCACAGTTGGATGGAGCAATCACAATCACACGAAGGTTGGACTTCGAAGCCAGGTCCCACCAATATATGGATCCGTTACTGGGTTTTTCTGGATTTCTGGGGGATACTCTTAAGAAAGATCAAATCCACCGAAGTTGTTCTTCTGAAAGTTTCTCCAGTTTTATGCCAGGTCCCCCACCCGCCTCTCATTAGCACCCTGTCAGCCTGTCACTCGATATAGATGTGTACATATGGCAATATATACACACATATTTGGCATGTCGAATCTATACAGTATGGTGGCAAGCTATCAGGAAAAAAAACAATGTAATGAGGGAGAAATCGGTTACATCGGAGACCGCACCATCGTCCGGACAGGTATGGCTAACGGGCGTAGCCAATGGGCAAATTTTACCTTGCCCAGATGCCCTCCCACTCCAGCCCGTTCCTGCCCCCCTCTCCCCGCTAATTATGGCAGTTGAAGAGGCAGAGGAACACGGGACCAGAGGGAGCGGAACAAGTGCAGCTGGGACACATTTGACACAGTTTGACCAAGCGTAACAAACCGCGTTTATCAAATGGAACTCGATTTGGTTTTGGTTTCAGTTTTGACGGTTGACGTGTCCGAAAAAAAAAACAATACAAAAAAAACCGGAGTATCTCTCCAACTACCCAACTACCCAGCCACCCAACCACCCATCCACCCCCAGCAACAGCATTTTCCCCAAAGCCCCACCGCCCAACGCCCAACGTCCCACAACCCCACTGACCCAACCAGCCAAGCGACCAATCAGCATTTCCGCTCTAATGAAATCCATGAAAGATGAAGTACATATGTACATACGAATGTGTAGGTACATATTTCCAGGGAGTTGGGAGTTGGATCTAAGTGATGTGGCCTATGGGACACAGGGCGAGCAGATTATACGATCGGTAGTTCCTCCTCTGCCAAACTATATCGATTAAATCGTCCAGCATCCGATTGGCACAGCGATAATAGCAAAATCATGACGTGTTTCCGGTTCATGATGCTTCTCCGATAAAGGAACCCAGAATATGGAACATGTCTAAAAGAATTCGAATAACAGAATAACAGTAATGGTTTGTGCTATCGATTAAGTCGATGTGATGTGCTCCAACCTCCACAAGACCTCCTTATTAATATATGTACACCATATATTGAACATATTAAAGAGTGGTCCAATGTCTAAAGAAGGGATTTCTATAATTAAGTTATTCTTAAATTAACGAAAACATTAGCTTAGCGCTCTGCTCTTTTTGGGCTCTCCCCCGCTAGGTGGGGACTGCTTCCCGCTCCCGCCTCGAGTCGCAGCCCCCATTGGGAGGGAGCCTCATTATCATCGCCAGGTGCGTGCTCGCTGCCTCGTGTCGAGGGTTTTAGTTTGGGTTTTATCTGCTTGGGGTCGTCTAATCGTTGTGTTCAAAATTGAACAATTAAACTAATTTCATTTCGCCACTGTGCGGCGGTTGCATGTAGGAATTTAGAGAACTTTGCTTCAACTCACCCAATATAAATACCGAAAACGTACGAGTACACATGAAAAAGGCACTCGAAAAAAATGCAGTCGTCGCAGTTTCCGGCACGAAATAGAATTGGATAAAAAACAAAGAACAAAAACAAACCAACAAAAACCGAACCGAACCGAGCCGAACTGAACTGAAGAAAAAATAAAGGAAAATCTACAAAAAGTTGTCGACCTTCTTTTGGAAAATTTCACACGATTTTCAAATGCAAATTGCGTCTTTTTTTGCCTCAACGTTTCTTTACAGTTGTTGTCTTTTTGGGCCAAAAGTGGATCACACTGGGGCAGTGGAGGAATACAAATTAACACTTTATGCGGGCTACGCTTTGGGGGTACGTGGATCGCTTCCCGGAACCGAATGAGTGGCAGCCAGCAGGTGGCCCCGGCTTATATAGGCCCGGGCGATCCACCCCAACCCTGGCATCTCAACCCTTCCGATCCTGGCCAGCCCAGCCCGGATAAGATAAGGGGCATGGTTCGATGCAGATGTCCCAAATGCCCGACTAATGGGGATGATAATGGCTGGGAGGTGCAGACGGTGACGGTGTTGGCGACGGTGATGGCAATGGCGATGGTGATGGTGATGGCGATGGCGATGAAGGGGGCACACTTATCGCCGCCCGCCTGGCGCAATTATGCAAAACAATATGGTGGGTACCAACTATCGATCCAATGATAACCAGAGATAACCAAGCAGATAACCAAAAACAAAAAAAGGAAAAGGAAAAAAACAAAAACCAAGAAACTAGGTATGAAAACATTCGAAAGCGTTGACGGTAAGTAGGACGATGGGGGAAGGATTGTGGGGGCGGGGAGTGTGCTTCCCAAGGGATGCACCGATCCGGCCCAAAGAAGGGATTGCTCCGACTTAGCTTGTCAGCGATAGCTTCTACTACAGTGCTTCACTGGGTCCGTGTCAGGACATACGCTGGGTCCCATGAGAATGGAACTCAAAAAAGTTTGATTCTGTAGCACTGTGTAATCTAAATGGAATGATGTAATCCCACAGTGTGATTTATGTGCCTACCCTTTATCGATCTGGAATTATTGAGTGCCGATTAGTCGGTCGAAGATTGGGAGCCCGAAAAGAGATGTACAGTGCGTTTCACGATTATGGGATGCTATTTAGTCTGAGATTCGTTTCCTGGAAGACTTTCCATTCAGTAATGGATGTACATAGTATTTCTGAGCCAGGGAACTGGCTACGAGTGTCGAACAGAAGACCTGGATTCGAGTGCTTTTCGTGTTGTTAGTTGTAAGTTGTAAGTTGTAAGTAAATATTTTAATAAAAAAAATATGTATAATTCTTAACAGTACGTACTTTTATATAGAAAACATCAGAGTATCAGAATTTAAATTGGTTTTTTTGTTTCGGGTTTCTTAGAATGTCTGCATCTTAAGGTATTACCTTAAATGTTGCATGGAAACGGGACTTAGTAGAAAAAACTTGAGGAAACTGCTGGGCGTGACCAGGGATCATAACTTGCGCAGATCCAGGACAAATATGTCGCCGTCCGAGGCACTGGCGCCCACCTTGCTGCCATCGGAGTTCCAGCAGACCTCGAAGATCCCGCCGGTGCCCTTGTAGCTATGCACCAGCTCTCCAGTCTGGGTGCTCCAGATGTGCACGCACTTGTCGAAGCTGCCCGAGGCAAGGTGCTTGCCGTCGGGACTGAAGGCCACGGAGTAGACGGGCTCCGTGTGCTTGCTCAGCGTGTATATGCAGCTTCCGCGCTCCACGTCCCACAGGCGAACCGTGGAGTCGAAGGAGGCCGACGCGAGTACAAGGTTCATGTTGGGATTGTTCGTGCTCGGCCCTGTGGGTGACCACTTGATAGTGTATATCTCCTTGGAATGGGCCAACAGGTCCTGGCAGCACCGATCCCGATTCATGGTCCAGATCTTCAGAGTCAAGTCATCCGAGCAGGAGGCCAGCAGCAGGCCCTGCGGGCACCACTTGATGGCGTTCACCTCGTTGGTGTGCCCACAGAAAGTTTTGAGCGGCTCTGTCTCACCCAGCCGACACACGAATATCCTCTGATCTGTACTGCAAGAGGCAAAGGCCTGACTCGTCTGCCAGTCGACGTCCAGGGCCGGGGCACTGTGAAAGGCGAATTGTTGCGTGCACTTGCCCGTGCTCGCATCCCAGATGATCGTCGTCTTGTCCACTCCGGCGGAGACAATGTAATTCCCGTATTTGTTCCACTTGAGTGCGAAGATCGGCCCCTTGTGCTGACCCAGCGTCAATGTCAGGCTTCCATCTGTCTTCCAGATGCGCGCATAGCCATCATAGCTGCCTGTAGCCAACATCGAACCGTCGCAATTCCAGTCCAGGGATGTGACATCCTTGTTACCCGTAAACTGCGGCCCGTCTGTCTCTATACAGTGCCTCAGCACCAGCTGACTGGAGTGGGCTTTCGATCCGGTCATGTTCCAGATGCGGGCAGTGCTATCGCCCGAGCCACTGGCCAGCAGGTCCCGGTTGGGATTCCAGGCGCAGATGAACACCTCGCCCTCGTGGCCGCGCAGAGCGCACACTTCGGACTCCGGAATCTCAACGCTCCCGACTATCTCCATTGGCTCGACGGGCACAGGACTGCCGCCCGCAGAAAAGTCGGTCTCACTCGAAGCTGGGCTGTGGTCTGGGGCTGTGTACGCCGCGACTATGCTGGGTTTTCCCGGCTTTTTTGGATAGAAAGTCGAGACCGCGACGGCTTTTTTGGATGTGGACGGGATGGAGTCGTCTATGCTAGTTGCATTCGCATTGCTCGACTCACTGGCTTGTGGATTTTTGTTGCCTCTGGAGCCGCTAGGGGATGCGGCACTTCCCCTGGAACCGCCCTCCGGGGTGGACTCTGCGGTGCTGGTGCTCCCCGTCGCCTTGGGCCCTTTAGAATCCGGCATCACAGCATCAATCAGGGAAAGGCCTTCAATGAGACGCCCCACCTCTCCGTCCGTGCCCACACTCCACTCCACCTCTGTGTAGAGGAGGCCCTTCTGGAGGATGGTTAGCAGGGCAGCCGGCGGCACCAGGCTTCCATTGATGTTGGTCCGCGCTACGTTCGACTCAATGCCGAACACGTAGGCGGAGTGCAGGAAGCCCGACTCCTGCAGGTATCGGTAAACCAGGAAGTTCACCTCGTCGCTGGAAAAACTCATGGCAACCAGGGGCCAACGCCTTCCAGACCTCGTTTAAATTCTGATGTGCCTCTGATTGCGGCAGCGGTGGCAATGGAGATCGCTGGAGACCGATAAAACGGCACTGCGTAAGCATGCGTCTGCATCGTCGGTGGCAGCTTCTCAAAGGGGGGACGGGTCTAATAGATCGTTCGTTGTACAACAACTCCTGAATAGTCGAAAAATTCAACTTGGCAGATAAGCGCTTCGCTTGCATTTTTTATACTAACAAATGAAAAAAGAACACTTGTTTACCTCGGTGTTGCATTTCCTTAATATCGCCGATGTCATAGTTTTCAATGTCGATCGGGACGGAAGAGAGGACAAAATGTACACCACACCAATGATATCTCGACGATTACATATACATATGTACAATATACTCTACGAGTGTGGCGCGGGTGCGAGTGCGGTTTTCCGTAACTTTTGTATCCTTCAGATTCCCAAACTAATGAATGCTTATTACGAGTATTCGGTTTAGGAGCATCAAACGCCGATTCCAGCGAGCCATGGTTTTGAATGTTCCATTAAATATATTTATTTTTTGTCGCGCGGGACAAAAATGTCTTGCGCTCAAAGTTATTAATTTTAAACGATACTGGACCAATTTTGTATGTTAGAACTTTTATCATTAATCCCGTTTTTTTTTTAGAAGAGATTATAAAATAGATAACAAGACATTTTATGCCTGAAATACCGAGAAAATTAACTCTAATAGGTTCTTACATCAAGGTTTCAATAGGTACAGTTTACAAAAAATATATCGGGACAGAACTGGATGGACTGTTTAGAATTTCGAGACTACTGTTCCCGGCACCCAAGCTCCAAATTAGTATAATGAGTTTCATACTAAAACCGGCATTGAAGTGTAGTGGAAACGACTAAGTCAATTTATAAATTATGTACATTGTACGTATGTACACAAATGCCTTAAGACATTATTTCCTTTTATGTGAAAAGTAAATTAGCTGAGACAGAATATGTTAATTTTATTGATAAAACATTCATAATTTGTTTATTATATTAATACTAATATTGATATTAATTTTATTATTACTTCGTATAATCTTTCTAAGCTAATTTACTATTAAGGTAAAAGTTAATAATGTAATGATGGGATATATTGTACATAATCGTTTTCTAGCCAACTACACGTGTGCCTAATTATAGCTGGGCATTGGGCTATTCTGTGTGTACTACCAAAGTACTACCCAAAGTGCATGTGAACGTTCGTGAAAGTGAACGCTCGCATCAGGATGCAACTTTATGCGCGTCGCTCGCTCGACGAATCTCCCGCTCGAAGACTTATGTAAAATAGTTTAGTGTATAAATCAGATCAGCGATCGGCAAGTCCCTATCTTCCGTGCGCTGCTGCTGGCACCACTACAACGTATCGTTGTGACTGCTGCCTACGCACACAAACGCACTGGCAACATGTGAATGCGTGCGTGCCGATCACTGGCAGCGCAACGAAAATTCAAACTCTGAACAAGTAATAATGTGCGTGTGTGCATCGGCTTTATCGTTGTGTTTGTGACTCTTACTATAGCAGTGGATACTACTGTTGCTCGGCAGATGTCAGGCACCCGTTTTGACTAGAGGATTTTCAGGCCCAAGCAACCAGAAAATGGAGCCCGAGAAACCATTCGAAATCAATGGAACGTATGGCCGACCAGAAATAGAAGGTTTCTTTCGGATGACAAATAGTAGGTTATACGTGACTGGAGGAATGTCTGGACAATTCAGTCTGAGAAATATCCTTACAAATATCCACGCATAGGAATGCATAGAGCTTCCGGTTGCCACTCCCAATGACATCCCTGACACAAATGGGCGGAGTATTCTAAGCGCCACAGACCAACTGAGAAGTTGACTTTTTGATTTTGCTGTCTGCTGTCTGCTGTCATTTGGTGACAAATAGGGCCTCATAGACGTGTCTGGAGACCGCAAGCAACACTAATTTGGCGTTTTTCTATCTTATTTAGGATTTCTTTCGGTAGAAAATTTTGCAAAGTCCAATGTCATAACACATATCTTCTAGCAGGTAGAGTATAGTTGTGTCCACCCTGGCCAGGTACAGTTACGAAAAGAGGGACCCCAAAGCGACATCAGAGCTTGGCGTCGTTGTCAGTGACTTTTTTAATCAGAAATAATTCGGTAAATTAAACAACCAGACGGCAGGCGGCAGGCGGCAGGCATTGGAAGGACCAGGTGATATGGATAGGCTTAGATAGGGAGCAATGGTGGCAGCGACGGAGCGTGGCTGGGGCCCAACATATGGGCAAAAACAGGGGGAGAAACGGGAAATCTGTGACTGGTACGTATCGTATGGATTTATGACAGAGAAGAGCAAACACAAACTATGTGAAATCAAATAGAAATTTCATAATTTCGTTTTCCACGAAAACGATGGCACCCACCCGGACAGGACGGGTGGAAGCGACAAAGATTTATGTGGAAGGGGAACAAAAAAACGGAGTGCTGTTAGAGAGCGCTGCTTATCGGCTCGACTTTGTGTGGGATCAGGTAAGCAAAGCGATAAAAGAGCACTCTGCTCTGGCAGTCGACAGGGAACACGCTGCTCCTGCCAAATTTTATCAAAGTTTAAATATTAATTCAGGGATACTCGTATGCGAGTGCGGCTGAAAGGAGAGCTGAAAGGAGGAGGAGGCTTATCGCAAAGGAGATAAAGTTGAGCAAACACTTGAGTGCAATGTTTCATGGAAACGGACAAATGAGGAACAGCTGCAGCTGCAGGTAGTTTGCCTCCAAAGCCCACTCGCCTGCTCCCTTCAATCCAACATCATTTTCACTCACCAGAGGCTCTGCGGCTGTTGTGGCGGCTCCTGCGGCAGATGATGATGGTGTGACGAATCCGTCGCCAATTTGTTGGCTATTCAGTTTTGTAATTTGCCTCCGAAGTGCAGCAATCTGACCGTGGAAAAACGATAGACAGTTGGAAATGTGAGTATGAGAAGTGCTAGGAAGTCGCAAAAGTGCCCACCGCACTTCCAGGCCCTACCTCGCGATCCTTGTCCCCACAGAGCTGGTCCAGCTGTTCCTTTTGGTGTTGCGACTCCGCCAGCAGGTCCAAGGCCGTCTTTGTATCAGTATCCGCGCCGCGGTAGTCCTCGTCGCCTGGTCCGGCAGTGTCGGCCAGCACTTCCTGGGCCAGATTCGTCAGCTGGCCCTTGATGGAGTTGAGGCTGTTGTTCAGCCAAGACATGTCTGCTGCCTGTTTGCTCCTGTACCTTGTGCGAACGTAGCTCTCTCTGTCTGGCCAAAAATATTCCTGGACGTCCTTTCAACAATCAATTTGTTATTTCCTTTTTTTGCGTGGCACAAACTCTGTTTTGCAGCTGATTTTGTTATTGTTTCATTGCGATAGATCAGCGTTGTTATCGATAGTTGTGCAGGCCACACGATGGCCCACTCGATGCTGCGATAGTCTGGCGATAGACATCAGGTCAGATTCTGCCTGCTACATGTGGCGGGCTGGATATTTGGTTCAAAACACACAAATCATAAATCAATTGTTTATATATTTGGTTTGGAACATTCGTCTGTTTCAACGTTTATTTATTTGTAAATTTTGTATCAACACAAAAAAAAGTGAAAGTAAACAGCTTCAAGTGGACTAATGAGTGTGGCATCATATTTACAGCCAAGTTGTTATCCTCCTCCTCCTGCTCTTGCTCCAGGATTCTTTAGAAGGTGCGCGGCTGGGAGCCAAAGCCCAGGCCGACGCCTCGCATAGTGTGTGTGGCTGCACGCGCCATCTCGTACTGTTGCTCCATATTGGAAAACATACGCTGGCGCTGCTCCACATCAGCAGGTACACCAGCTCCCCCTACAGCCGCTGTCGATGTCGCTTCGCCAGCGCCAGCATCTTCGACAGCTGATCCGACAGCGCTGCCGTTGCTAGCATCTCCCAGCTCGCCGTGTTCTCGCCCGTCCGCCACGTCATCTACACTGTTGTTGCCGCCGCCACCGCCGGCATTCTTGATGCCCATCAGCCGCATAAACTTGGAAGCGACCTTTCCGTCCGAGTCCTGCGAGAAGTGCGCGTTGCCCCACTTGTTGGCCGGAGGATCACTCTTCTTTGAGCCCCACAGCAACTTGCGCTTCTGCTGCTGCTCCGCGTACCGATTGGCATTGATGATGCCCGGATTGTAGTAGCTCGGCAGCTGGATGGGCTTCACGGGCGACATGGCCTGGATGGGCGGCATGGTCATAATGGGGGGTATTCCCATCGGTCTGATGGGGGCGTTGGTCACTGGCGGCACGGCCAGGGACATCAGTGAGGGTATATTTGTTGAGTAGTTCGGCGTCGGCAGCAGTCCTCCACCTCCTGTTCCTGTTGCGCCCTGAATGGGGGCCTTTGCTTTCATAGCTGCCACAGCGACTGCTGATCCCGCGGAGGATAGCGGTTTGAGGAGCATCAGTCCAGGTCCAGAGGCACTGCCTGCATTCACAGCACCTTGATTTCCAGCACGGGGCAGCCGCTCCTCGCCGATTGGTTTCTTAGGGCGTCCGCCAGTGCCCCCCGGCTCCAGCGGCGACCTGGAGCGGCTACTGGAGTCGCGTGCCCGGTACTTGCGTGATGACGATGCTGAGGACAGTCCTGTCCCAGATCCTGATGGCTGATGATGGCGGCGGCGGCCGGACGGCGGTGGTGTCCCTGTCGGCGTGCGGGATCTGGAACGCGAGCCTCGGCGCCGTCGACTGCGGTCGTCATAAGAGCGACGCTGAGATTTGTGCGAGGCTGCATTGGCAGACGAGGATGAAGATGAGATGTGTGAGCGTGAGGTGTCGCTGTATCGCTGATCCTTGCTGTGATGCAGATGTCGTCCGCTGATATTTTCACGGCGGTGATCGCCTCTTTCACGATCGCGATCACGGTCACGGTTACCATGGCGATCGTGGTCCTTGTCACGCTCTCGCTCTGGCTCTCGCTCGCGATCCCTGTCCTTGTCCTTGTCCTTGTCCTTGTCCCTGTGGCTTTGCTTAATCTCTTTGGTGCGATTGTGGCGATGGGCGCCCTGAAATGATAACAAAACCATATGATCATAAGAATATCTGCGATTAAGGCTGGGAGCAGAAGCACTTACCTTGCTGTTATCCCTGTCCCTGTCACGTTCCCTGTCCCGGCTGCGGTCGACATCGCGCTTTTCCTTCTCCCTGTTCCGATCTCGGTCGCGCTCCTTTTCCTTTTCCCTCTCTTTCTTTTTCTCTTTTTCCTTTTCTTTCTCCTTCTCCTTTGCGCGCTCCTGGCGTTGTCGCGGCTGGGGCTCCTGCAACAAGAAGAGGAGGCAACCCACCAAGGAAATGTACATACATTAAATAAACGATCTAAAGGCGGAAAATAAATCTAAACTATGGGGGTCGGGTCGGGTCGAGTCGGAGCGGATCGGATCGGATCAGCTGGCGGTGCGTCCTGGCTCCTGACTGGCTTGCACTAGGACCTGCGCTGCAGGCCTAGACGCTGCAGCAGAATTTTCTCAGGGCTTCTCTGACTGGCGACTGACTGGCTAAGAGAGTTAATGGTTCTATTTGCTTTTGATCTTTTTGGTTTTGGGTATACTCACATTCGTGCGGGTCGATCTCTCTCAATCTGAATCTCTTTTCCGCCACCTCGTGCGGTTCAGTGGGTGGTGGGTGGATATGAGGGTATGTTTGTTCGTGTGCGTGTGCGTCAGTGTACGCGTGCGGGTGCGTGCGTGTGTTGGGTGGGATCCAGGAGTTCGATTGACTGGGAACTCAACTCTTGGGGCCCTCGGACCCACGCGTCACACACCCCACAGGACACATGACACAGAACACAGGACACAGGCCACACCACAACTCTAATATCTATGAAACTGTACGGAGCTGTCATCGGTTGGTTCATCGATGCTATCGATCGATGGAATGTGGTGTGTGTGTATGTGTGTGTGTGTGTGTGTGGTCGGGTGTACTCGTTCCGCCGAAGAATCAGTCGTCTGGGTGGGTCGTGCGTACATTTTTGAGATACAATTGATTTTCTTTTTTTCGTCCTTTTTTGTTTTTGTTTTTGTTTTTGTATTGTTTTTGGTCTTTGTCTTTGGTTGGGTTTGGTTTCAGTTTCGGTTTCGTTTTGGTTTACACAATAACAACAATAATGATAATAATAAAATGGTAGATTTTAGTCATTTAAATATTAAGTGGCATTAAAGGTTGTAGACTTATCTACTTATCTGTGTAGACACACACGACACGGTCCACTGTCCACTGCACAGTGCACCAAATACGGACGGACCCTTTCGCATATGGATACCCTTGCAGAGAGTGCAGCCACGCAGCCACGCACAGAGGGGGCACCCCAAATTCCTCATTTAATCAATTCGAGTACTTATTGTATCGGAAAACTACGTCACGAAGCTCCCATAAGAATAATATCATCTTGCTCGTACCATAATAGAATTTTTACTACGACGATCAATCGCAGGATGAGCGGCAAGCCGCTGGTCCGCTGCCAAAAGCCAAATCGAATACATATATAATGTACATATTTACTACATCAACATATGTGTGTACATCGTATGGCCACAATCGATCTGCAAGGGTATGCAAAGCCTTCGGTGCCCCGAAGAATGCCTTGCTTACTGGTTGTTCTTTCAAAAACATTCACGACCGGGCCAGGACAAGAACGAATGGAATGAATGTGAGAGTGCCGTAGATCGTTCGGATCGAAGGCTATAGAGGCAGACGACATACATATGTATAGACAGTTATTTCTATGCGGAGGCGCTACATGAAAATACATTTTCCGAGATGCAGAACTTATCTGGCATTGCCCATCCGTTCCAAACCCATGCATCTATGCATAGCTATGCATCTACACACACATATGTACATATATACATATGTATATGTATAATAAACATTTAGTTTATAAATCGGTTCTTGAAACGTCATCGTTACCTTATCAATGGTGATGCTGTTGTTCGACTGGCGACTGCGACTGATACTCCTGTGATGTTGCTTTCCGCCGGTGGCCACCGTGGACGCTGGCTGCGGCAGTGGCGGTGTACTTTTCCGTCTCCTCGACTTTCCACTGGCGCTGCTGCTGCTACTGCTGCTGCTGCCGCTGCTACTGCTGCCACTGCTACTGCTGCTGCTGCCGCTGCTGCTGCTGCTGCTGCTACTACTGCTGCTGCTAGAGCGTCGGCGCTGACGTTGCCGTTGCCGTTGGTGTTGCTGCTTCTGGCTGCTGCTGTTGTTGCTGCTGCCTTCATTGTTGTTCTTTTTGGCCTTATGCTGATGCTTTAAGGCAGTTGCAGCGGCTTTTGCAGAGGCAGAGGCAGAGGCGGCAGCGGTGACTGCCAAAGCAGCCGATTTCGTTGGTTGCGGTGGTGGTGCCTAGGGGAATTTTTCAACTATTCAGAAACAGCAAATTCGCATTATTTTACTAAAGCACTAGGATACAACTAAGTAGAGAGGTGGACAGTACGGGTGGGTTTTTGGTTGGAGTGTGGAACTGGATGTGGACTATTGCAAAAGGAAATATTTGATAGATCAAGTAATATGTATATGTACTTATGTACACTATTTGTTTCTTTTTTTTTTAGTTCATTTTGGATATTGGTTTTTCACACACACACATACACACATCCACACACACACATGGATGTACACCGCACGCCTCTGACAAAATGTGTACACAATATGAGCCCTGGCGTTCGATTTAAGTGCGTTTTTTCAGCTTCTTCCAGTAATTGCTTATTTATTTATTTACCCGTATTTGATAGCCAGCATCATCTTGGTCATCTTCGCTGCTATAGTTGACAAGAGCCTCCATTATTTGCCGTTTTTTAATTGGCAGAAATTCGGCATCAAAAAATTACTGAATCGCTTGAGGCATAGCCCTGCCAACCTGAGCGAAAGAGGACATTGGGCTATCGATATCAAACAAGCAGCAGTGTGTTTACAGCACTGGCACTTCCAATTTGGAGGAACATTTGAAATTTGAATATTATTGAAATTTTTAATGAAATAAGGAATCACTACTATACACTGTACATCTAGTTGAAAACAAAATAAAAATTATATCCCGCGTAGATCCCGCAGACTTCCGCTGCTCAATCGCTACTACTTATGACTGTGTAATAGCATTCTGTTCTTACTTTAGTCTTTCACCTCATTTCTGTCCACGACTCTGCGGTTTTGGCAGCGGTGGAAAATGTTGTGTGCTTAGATTCAGCATTTCCTCTGTCGGTTCACTGAAAGGTGCTTCCATACTTGCGATTGTCTCCGCTAGGCTCTTGTACTGAATCGAAAAGAGCAAGTTTATAAATAAAAGCGTGAACTTTTTATTGTTAAAAGTTCACCTGCGTTGGCGGCTTCCAGTTGGCCCTGTCTTCAAAAGTCATAGCTTCTGATGTTGGGTGATTTGTATATGGGGGGTAGTGGTGGTGGTTCCATCTCGACGCCGACCTCGGGCTGCACTGCCAACGCCACTGGCCCTGCTGCTGATGCTGCACCTGCTTCTGGTGCGGGTCCTGGATTTGCTCCTGCTGTTGCTGCCGCCATTGATGTAGTCGCTCCTGCTGCCAATAAAAGTGCTGCCAATACCACTGCTGCTGGCGCTGCTGTTGCCACTCGTTGTGGTGCTGCCAGTGCAGCTGCTGCTTCAGCGGCCACTGGTGCCAGTGCCACTGCCAGTTCTGCCAGAGCGGCTGATGGTGATACGTGTTATACACTGGATGGTAGGGCATTGTTATCTGCACGGGCGGATCGAGAGTGCCCCTGTAGCACCATCCCTCGGCGAGATTGTAGAAATGCTCGTCGTACAGGGCGTACAAGGTCGCCCCGAGCAGCAGCTCCTGCGAGGCCTTCACCGGAAAGTATTCCAAGCTGTTAATCATCTCGATCTGTCTGCTGTTCTCCAGCCAGTTCCAGTTGTGGCCGCAGCCACTGACTACCGGCTCGAAGACGGCGCGCTGCTGAAGCTGCAGTAGTAGTGGCTCCTTCTGCCTGACCATCTTGAGGAGCTCCATCAGCTTTGACTGCTGCCGCTCATCCGGACTCATATGCATACCCGCCACCTGCGCCACCTCCTCCTCCTCCTCCTCCACCATCAGGGGATGCATGGACATGGGCATGGGCTGATGCTGGTCGTACTCAGAATGTGGCTGCTGGTGGGAATGCATTTGGCGATGGATGGAACGCCACTGATCGCTACTGTTGGACGGTCCAGGACCATCACTTTGCCAGTGATGGTTCGATTGATCCTGTGGATTGTAGTGGTCCGGAGGATTCTGGTAAATCTGCTTTGGGTAGCGATGTTGGCGCTCCCGCTCTACCTGATAGATGGGCACTTGTCCCTTGGCATTTGGCGTCCCCAGAGGCGAATGAATGTCCCAGCGATTGGCACAATCCGGCTGCTGCTGGCTCTCCCAGTATGTGGGATATATGTCGTCTGCGCTTTGTTCCTGATGCGGGTAGTAAGTGGTTTCATTCTGAGATTGTGCGGGGCGAGCCATGTCAATTCCCCGCCAGACTATATCGTGGGCATTCTCTGAAGAGTTGTCCTGGCCGTTCTCTATTCTGTTTTGTAGCCCGTTCTCTGTGCCACCCAACGATATATTTATAATGAAATATACGCTCTGGTTTTGGTCCATTATTCGGCTCTGACGCGCTGCCATGGCATTCCTGCGCCGTGCATTCTGGGTCTCGAAGCCAACGGGCTTCAACTCGCATGGGGCGGCGTTGTCTTCTTCCTGGTCGCGTTCCACCTGCAATCCCAAATTGAAGTGGACTTGATTCCGCCATATCTTGACTGATCGGCAGATCTCCCTCTCCACGAGCGCTCCACCACCGCCCCATGTGTGGCCATCTATCAGTAGACCGAAGATCAGCGGCAGCGAGACACTGCTGGATGGAAGAGTATGGGGTCCGTGAATGCGACTGTGTGCGTGTGTTTGTGGTACCTGGCCATGCATACGGCTCTGATTGCCGCTTTTACTGGATAAATGGGGCTCTTGACCATTAGGATCTGCGGTACCAGACGGCGGCACGGGCCTATCGCTGATTAATGTCGATGTGGATGGCTTTGTCTTGGATTGGGGTCTCCCCTTGCCGCCGGCCCCTGCTCTACAGTCGAGCTCTTCAAAGTTGAAGAAGCTGTCCAGGGTCAAGGGCTTGATGCGGTTGTAATAGTAAAGGGCATTCTCTTCACCGAACGATATACGAATGCGCTGGCCACTGTTGAGGCCGGACGCAGACCCAGAGCCAGACCCAGACCCAGACCCGGACCCGGGCTGCCAGCGCTGCAGGACAAAGGGTCGGCTACTGTTCTCCCGCAGCAAATCGGGATGTGTTACACGACGAGCCATTGCCAAGGCTTCGTCATTATCTGCAAAATCGAAGGAAAGGGTCAAAGCAGTTATTTCTGTGTGTGTGTGAGTGTGTATGTGTGTGGGTGTGTGTGGGTGTGGGTGCGCAGGTGTGTGCTAGTATGATAGCCAATCCAATCGGTCTGGTCTGGTCTGATCTGGTCTGGCCTGCCTGTGGCAGCCGCTTGCTGCTTGCTGCTTTTTGCTTAATGCTTAGTTTTGCTCTACTCTGCCTTCATTCCTTTGCAAAGATCTCGGGATCTGGAGCCTTAATTTCGCCAACTCCGCCCGTCAATTCCTGAGCGCAGAACTCGCCCCCACTCGCTCCTTGAAAGCTCGACTGCACTGCTCTTTCCCGTCTGTTGCTTGGCCGTGGCTTGTCTGCGGACAAGCTTTGAACACAAACGACTTTAGGCGCGGCTTGCCAGCACTGATGGAACAAACGAAGAGACTCGGAAAGAGCAAGACCTTCTTCGGTTCGGAGAGAGAAAAACCGAGAACACTTTTCTAAGGCCAAGGCTGCGATCGCAAACTTTTTCGCGCTAACTAACTGCAATCAAATGATGATAGACGGATCGAGGTAGGGTAAAGAATAAAAACAATAGCAGCCTGTTCGACTCGGACTGTTTATGGATCATATTTCATTCCTCGGACAAATGCACTCCCCCAAACACTCCCTCCTATTCAGCGAAATCAGCGGAATTGCCGGGTTTCAGATGAACATGAATATAAATATGAATGAAGGTGGCACATCGCAAGAGTCCGTCTTGGAGTATTTTGTTTACCAGGCTTGACTCTTTGTTTATGCTACTATACTACTCGGTGGCTCGGTTGCTCGTTTGCTCGTTTGCTCTTCGATTCCTGGACCGTCTCTGCCTGTTATTTGATTGCGTTTGGGGGCTGTGTTATACGTACTTACGATTCGGGTTCATCGGACATGTCGGCGTGACGGCGCCCTGCATCGGATGGGGACCAGACATTGGATGATGCAGGATGCTCTTTACTGGTTGCTGGTTGCTAGAAGGTAGACATGATGTTGCTGTGACCGATCGGATATCGGATACAGCTATGCCAGGTGTTGCCAATGTTGTCACGGTACTTTCCGCAAGGTTGGTGGTGCTGGGCACGACTGCTTATGGAATGCTGGTGGAGTCGAGTGGAAACAGTGGAGGCTTAAAACCGGGTGGCAACTGTGGAGCGTTGAAGGTGGAAGGAATCTGTGCATCCTGGAGAACAGGCGGATTTTCTAGAGGATTGCAGCCGTGTGGATGCTGTGCATGGACCTGCGTTGAAGGTGTCAGATATTGAAGCCGGGTGTATGTTTCGGAGGATTGACACCTGCTAGAGGCTGTGAGATAGTGGAACCGAGTCGACGCTGTGTGGATTCAAGCCCGGGCTAATGGTGGCCACGATTCGACGCGTGTCACCGCTCCACTGATCCCTCTCAACGCCGTCGTCCCTTATTCTGGCCGCCTCCGGCTGCCAGCCGTCTGACGCCATCTGTAGGCGCTGGAGATCCCCGCAGGTGTCGGTGGGTGGGAAGGAGTAGATGGAAAACAGATGGCACGGCAAGCAAACCCCACCGCCGAAATCGAAAGCAATCGCATATCTGCTTTGAATTTCGTACTCGTGCACTTTTCCTATACTTGAAAATGTCCCAGCAATAGGAATCAAAGTAGCCGAGGCAAACTAATTCTGTTAAATACATCCATACGTAAGTTTTTATTATTATTATTATTATATAAAGCTAATAAATAGTTAAAATTAGGTATTAACAAGGTATGGTATTATTATACACTTAAGTAAGTACTTATGTACTTATATACATACATACATACATACATACATACATACATATGTACAAAGTTGGTTTTATACGTTATTATATGTTGTGGAGGAATTATTATCTAATATACTAATTGTGTATATGTATGTATGTATATACATATATGTACAGGGATATTTGTTTATGAGGTTATATGTAGTGAATGATTTTGGATTGAACTAGGTAGTTGAGGACTATTTTTGCGTTAATCAGCCAGGCTCCGTTTTTCACATTCACAAAACTTTTCCGATTTACTTTTGAAATCACATAAATTGGGGCTCTCTTTTTCCCATTCCGCAAGATTTCTTCGTTTTCAAAACGAAAACATTTTCGTTGACGAAATGAAAAGTAAACGGCTTTTTATACAACAAAACGAACCTTAATTGCAAAAGGAAAAAAATAGATGACTTATTGATGCATTAACATAAACTTGATACCTATATCAGGGTAATTTAACTTGTGCTTTCTTTATAAATAATTTTATTTTAACCCAACCTAAAATTTGGCTCGGAAAAAATTGGCCACAGCAACAACAAATTTCGTTTTGGTGTAAGCAGCTGACGCATTCCGATTTGGTTATCGGAACGTTGGCAATTAATAAATTTTTGCGTATAACAGCACAAATGTGCATGTAACAGCTCAGACTGTGCTTGTAACAGGTGCTTAACAGAACATCTGGGTGAGCACAGCTGTTTCCCGCCCAATTTAATTCGGACTTCAAAATGTAACATATCGATAAAAAAAATATTTGAAAAATGGAACACCTTAAAACGAAAACGAAACGTTTTGGCTGAAAACGTAATCCGCAAAAGTAAATGAAAAACGGAGCCTGCCTGATTGTTGCTAGGGTTGGAGATGTATTGCATGGGGTCGGTGTTATGGAATATTGAGGATCTTTGAAGAGAGAGGGCGGGGCATGTGTATAGTATGTGTCTTATGTCTATGGTTGGATGTTTTATCCATGTAGTGGGCATTGGTGAATCTTGTGTGCCCTAGTCTCAGTCTGTTTAGCATGACTTGGTGTCTTCTGTTAAGGTTGTTTATGTTTTTGGGGGAGGATGAGTGGAAGATAGATTGATAACTTGATGGTACCAGGGGGAAGTCTTGGTGAGGAGGTCTGTTTGTTTCCATAGGAGGATTTTCTTAAGGAATAGTGATATGTCGTTAGAATTATGATTGGGGGTATACATACATATGTACATGTACATGTATGTATATGAGGGTTTGTTTGGAGGTAGTTTTCGTTCCCTTTTATGTCAATTTGGTGTTTGGTTAGTTGTTAGTTGTTGTTAGTTTGGTGACGAGGAATTGTTGGGATTGGGATCCAAAATCCAAACATTTATTGAAAATTTGATATCAGAGAGGATATCGTTGGATTCGTCCAAAAACGCACTAAACGCACTAAACGCACTAAACGCATAAAGCGATTTCACGTTTTCTTGGTTTCGCGAAACGGTCTCACTGCCAAAGTGAAGCGCCAATTCGTGGGCTCCGCATATATTTTTGAAGAACTGCGTAATATCTATAAACAATAGACAGCAGCACTGCTGCATCGGTGTGTACGATGTCCGAAGATAGCGACTATTTGCTTGCCCTCCGTCTAAGCTATGAACTGAACGGAGGGGACGCCACACAACATCAGAGTCAGCGGGTAAGTTTCGGCACAAAAAATCATTTACCAGAACTTCCTGAATACTCCCATTTGTACATGTGTGCTTAGGACTCCCAGCCATCAAAATCGGAAGCATCGGAAGAAGCTGACTATTTGTTGGCTGTCAAGCTTCAGTCCGAGGAACAAAATGAGGCCGCCGATGGCGACCTGGACGGCAGCATCCAGTTTGTTTATCCATCAAAAAAGGACGTAAAGGTTAGTAGCACTTCTTCAACGAGTTTCAATGTAAACAAGCATTTGAACCACCCTTAGAATACGTTGCCCAAGAGCTCGCCAAAGCCTAAGCCAGGCCGAACAAGTGCTGTGAGCAGAGCTGAGGACTACCTGAATCAGACCAGCAATCTGGTACATGACGACTGGGAGATTCTGGATCCCACGCCCAACATCTTCTCCATGTTCGTGCGCTTTGACGAAAAGTTCTTTCAGAGGCGTTTGGGCGCCGTCGTCCTGGAGTGGAGCAAACGCATGTACTCGTGTGCTGGGATTTGCTATCTTCGCAGCAACAGATACACCAAGGAGATTACAATCCGGCTAAGCGAGCCGCTTCTCAAGCTACGTCCTCGCAAGGACCTCGTAGAAACTCTTCTGGTGAGTCCCTTGCCTCCCCACGAACAAGTCTCCATGTTTTCCAACCACTCATCTCTTTTTCTGTGCAGCATGAAATGATCCATGCTTATTGCTTTATACAGAACATACGCGAGGGCAACGGCGGCCATGGTCCGAATTTCAAAAGAATCATGACTACCATAAACCAGGTGGCCGGGACTAACATCACCGTCTATCATACCTTTCACGATGAGGTGGAAATGTATAAGACTCACGTCTGGCGCTGCACGGGCATCTGTCAGAACCGTCATCCTTTCCGCGGCTGGGTTAAACGCACCTCGAACCGCCCCCCAGGCCCCAATGATCAGTGGTGGGAGAAGCACACGCGCGATTGCGGCGGAACCTTTATGAAAGTTAGCGAGCCGGAAAAATCCAAGCCGCAGAAGCCGTTGCGCAAGCCGAATGCCAAAAAGACTCCGTCTCTCAGTGGGGATATACGCAAGTATATCGTCAATCCGCCCGCCAAGAAGCAGGCCATCGACTCAAACGTAGCCAATGGGCTGCTATCCAACTTGGTCGGCTCCGTTCCGCCCACCTCGTACCCGGGACAGTCTCGCAATCCATTTGCCATGCCCACCAGCAGCAAGCCGCCGACCAAGTCCAATGTCGTGGGCATGACAGATCTTAACAAGAGCGGCGACCAGAAGGAAAACAAAGCTAAAACAGCCAAAGAAAACCTCCATACTGGCGAAGGCCACACTTTGTCCGGGTCCACAGCTGCGGGAGGCTCCACTACTAGAAATTCCGACTTCGTGCGTAATGTTTGGCAGAAGCGCTTTGAGAATAACCCAACTAAAGAGGCGCAGGAAGAGACCGAGAAAAGCACTGGAAAGCGTCCCCATAGCTACGTTGATGATAGTCCTAATCTGTCCTGGGAGGCCTATGATGAGGACGTTTTGATTGCAGATGATATTACGCCCACAGTTTTGATCCTGAGCAGCGATGACGAAAGCGACAATGATAACGAGGAAAAGAAGAAGACTGAAAACGAATACGTCAAGAACTCAACTTTATTTTCAAGTGGAATAAGCAGTCAGGAGAGGACGCGCAAGATCAAGGAAGAGGTAATGTTCGACGAGTCCCAGGATTTTAGCGAAGATGATATCGTTCTTATTGACGATGAGTACGATGACGAGCAGAACCTTGATAGCAGTCTTATAGCGGCCACTGAGTTGGCCGACCAGTCCGTCATAGACGACTTGTTCGGGGTGGATACCCTGCTGGCAGAGTTCCAGCTGGAGAACGATGTCGTGCCGACTGGGTCGCGGGTCACGAAAGATTTAAACAACGATATTGTCATATGCCCCATCTGCTTTGGCAGAATTAAACGTTCGCAACTGTCGAATCATTTTGAAGGGTGCTTCATCACCAACAAAGTGGAGCCGCCCTCCTTCAAGCATAAGCTGCCCAAGACTAACAGCACGATGAACGCCCAGAGGCCATCGACAGCTATGACTTCAGGAAAAGGAAAACGCTCAGCCACAGGGGGTAAACGAGCCTCCTCAAAGCAAGTATTGCGGAACGCTGGCTATACCGAGGAGGAGATAGCCCCGCTGAACTTGAGCAGCTCTAGTGATTCGGCCCAGAACGGGACAAGCGAGGAGGAAATGACACCGCGCCAGATGCGTCAGCGGAATCTCTTTAAAAAGACTATTACATGCCCCAAGTGCGGCCTGGAATACCTCGGCCACCAGATGGAGGCCCATCGCGTCCTCTGCGCCAGCAAGCGCCGCCGCTAATATACTTTGTTACCTAATAATATTCCATATATCTAATCTAATATTTCCACAAATCATACATTGAATGTTATGCTCCTTATTTAATTGGAACACATTTTTTTTTTCGTTTTCTCCCTACGTTAAATAAATGAACAAAAGCATTAAGAGTTGTTAAAAGAGTCGTCCAAAGTAGCGAAGGTTGGGTCGGTTTTCGTAGCGGTTTGCCAGTCCCGGCCAATGTACTACGAACATGTCCACAATCGGCAGCAGGAGACGCCCGCTCAGCGAGAGCGTCTCCACCCGGCAGAAGCTTTCCACGAACACGATCCGGCTTTTGGGGGGCAGGCGGCCAAGTAGACGCCACATGTATGCAGCATAGCAGTATGGCACACATGTGCCGGGACCATTGCAGAGCACCAGCTGCGGGCGGTCCCGCCAGACGAGCCAACAACTCCAGATCAGGGCGTACAAGATGGTGAACACGCTGCTCAGCCAGCTTTGGCCTACGCTGCGACTTCGTGGCACCCGGAAAATGCTCTCAGCGCCAGAATGCCCCAGAGCGGCTTGCAGTTGCCGATCTGAGTTCTCATCGTTGTTGGCAGCAATGAAGCGAATCGGCTGGTACTCGTCACTGTCTCTCCGGTGGAGGAGGGCCTTGGTGATCTTGCACATCTCGGCCGTGTGGCCCCCAGAGCCAAGTATCACATATGTGGGATAGGCGGCTTCTTGAGTAGACATAATCTTGTCGAGAATTCAAAGCCCTGCAAATACGCCGAATGTCTCTATCTGTATGGTCACACTGTTCCTTGATACCGCAGTGCATTTCTATCGATCAGGAAATTTAAATAATGGAAATTTCCCATTAGGTGAAGCAAAAGTATTCAAAATTCGCGATATGCCTTTTATTTAATTTACACTACACTAAAATTGTATTGTAAATAAGAAAACACCAATAAAATAATATTTGACTACCGTAATAATCGCAACTATCGATAGTTGAATCACTTCTCAGCCAGGTGTTTTCAAACCGAACCGCTAAAGTTTGAGAGAAATAAATGTTTATTAATGAACAAAAGAGGTAAGCTTAAAATATACAATCAATAATATATGTACAAGAAATATACAAGCAATTGTGCATTATAATCAATGAAGGAGCGCACATACTGCAATCGATAACGGATTGAGTGAGAAAAAAAGAACCAGCTGGTTCTCTTTCAAAGTGCTGGAAAAAGTAGGCGCCGCGCCATTTGTTTCTGTTTTTAGTTTTTAGCAGACAAAATGAGCGACAAGGCCACTGCACATATGTCGACAGATGCGCGTAATGCACTCATTACCGATCATCTGCAGAAACTAATCAAGAGTGTGGCAGGCCCCAATGTAAGTCTGAAGCATCGTCGCCTGTCATCTACAAATAACAATAGCATCTTTTCCGTGGTCAGATCACTCCAAAGCAGCAGCGGCATCTGGAGCAGATTGCCAGGAAACATATACGCCACCCTAACTTCTTAAGCACGAAAAGTCATGAAGTAACGCAGACGCTCAACGCGTTGGTGGACCGTTTCCAGCAGGAAAACATGGCCCCCTTTGGGCAGGCTATCAAGGAGCTGAGCACAAAACTAGTCGAGGATCCCGCCTGGCAGGATCACGACCAGACGGACGTGCAGTGGTCTTTGCTTGACTTTCTGCTCAGCATGACCAACGCGCCCATACAAAATGTGCGAAGGAACCGCCAACAGATGGACCAGTGCCGCCTCTCGGCACTTGCCGCCGTTGAGGCCTCAACCTACCAGGCCGTCGTGCCCAACATAGTCGAGGCGGACACCGATTGGGTGAGCCTGCTCAGCGAGGATTTCCTGGAGGGGCCAACGCCTGGGGATAGCTCGGACACTCAGGAGGTAAGACCCAGCTACAGTGTCCAATGATAAATCCACTTGAAGTAGTTTTTCCCGTTCAGGAACAGTCCGAGGAAAGCGATGCGCATGAGATTAGTGGCTCCGTTTGCCCAGAGGATTTGAAGACCACGCTGAAGCCAAAGGACATGGCCAATGTCTATAAGAATGCCATGAATAATGTCAATCCCTGTGTTGAAAAAACATACGTGCCAGAACTGGCGAGATCCGGCAAATCCGGCAGATCCTTCCAAATAAACGCACCCATCAATCTCGCTCTGGTATCCCCAATTGAGATCAGGAGCAGAAACTTTGTCCCGCTGCCGCCACTTCAGCCGCCCCAGCTTTTCACACAGCACACCCAGAGCGTGCGCGACGAGAACGTGCTTCCGCAGCTGATCCACTCTCATTGGTGGCGCCACGACATCCAGATCCATACCAAGCCCCCTGACAGCGATCCTCTGTCCAACTTTGCCATCAGCTACCCGCAGTTCCTCAACAAGTACTCCTTGGGTCTCGTCCACTATCCGCTGCCCAACACCACCACGGAGCGCTGTCTGATCCGCGAGATCCTGTTCATGTTTGTTAGTCCCGTCAGCTGTTGCTTCTTTGTGGTGGATGAGGAGCGACGCATCCATGTGCGCCAGAATGTGAGCATCTGCAGTGTAACAGCGGTAAGGGCATCTCCTGCCGTCCCTCTTCCTCAATCACCGCTCTCTTTCTCTGTGCATGTAGGAGGGCCTGAAAGGTACGTTGGAAGCGGAGTTGGTCCCTGCCCTGGAGGACATGATGCAGCTGCGTCAGACAGTAGACAAGCTGACGCTGCGCCAGAACGGGGAGAACATTATCGGTACTCTAGAGTGCTTTGCCAATGGCCTGCGCGATCTGGTGCGCCCAATCAAGAAGGCGCTGCTTGCCTACGAGGAACGCATGCTCAGCGAGGAGCCCGTCTCGCTCATTCACTTCATCCGACACATGAACAAGCACTTTCGTATGCTCCAGCTGCTCCGTTTCGTGTCCAGCAAAGCCGTCCTGCCGTCGGGACCTCCGCATCTGATGTGCGCCTATCTCCTGTCGCAGCTGTACCAACAAACGCAGCTGCATGTGCCGCACCAGAAGCTGGCCATCGCCCTGCTGCTGGTCTCGCTAAATACATACTGCAACATCTTCGATGGCTTGTGGCGTCGGGCCAAACTGGAGGACCGGCAGGCTCAATTCATTGTGGAGCGATGGTGGGGCAATAGTCCTCTTGAGATTATTTTCTGTATATATATATTTTTTCTGCAGGGTACCTGAAGGTGAGGATGCGACCGGTGAGTGGGAAGCGAGAGTCCACATCCGCCAGCGCCGGTTAGAGGAAGAAGAGAGCGAAGAGAACCACCAATTGTTCAAGAAACTGCATAGCTGTCCCTTCTATAGGCTGCTCCTCGAGCATTCTCTCACGTCCATTGAGACCCAAGACCTGCTGGCAAGCGTAAATCTCCTTGGCGACATGCTGGCCACCACCAACGAGAACAATTCCCGCTCCCTCTACGAAGAGCTGCATGCCCAACTCTTCGTCCAGCTGCGCGTCTACGGACGTCCAACGCAGCAGTCGGATGGAGACACACAGATGGCGAATAGTCACACAGGGAAAGAGCAGTCAGAGCAGAAAGCCTTTGAACAAAAGGTTCTGAACAGCGTTGGGACGATAAGGAACCCGGACCTGCTAGCACTGCTCACCCAGCCGATCACGAAGAAGCAGCAGGAACGAGATAAACCGCAGGATCAGCAGCGACGGCAGCCGCCGGTTCAGGCAGTGCAAGTGCTGGAACGACTGGAGAGCGCCACGCGACTGCAGGTGAAGGACGTGATGTCAGAGGCCCTCAGGGAGATACTGCTGCGCCGCCAGTCGCTGGCCAATATGTTTGCGATCAAAGCCATGACCGTTGACCTGCAGCTTGGCGAGAGCGCGCGCTTCCTGCGTCACGTTTTGCTGCTGGAGGCCGACCATCTGCTGCGTCCATACTACACGAGGCTCTTTCGCGATATCGAGGCGGGTCTGAGCTGGGCTCAGGTCTCGGTGCTGAACATGGAGCTGTACGAGCTTCTAATGCCCCAATATGCGCAAATGGCTGGACGCGCTTCGGTCAGGATCGTCTCCCAGGTGCGCTCCACCTCCACCAAGGTGTACGAGGCTGTGGAGGCCATTGAGCTGGTGTTCGATTTTTTTGAGCACGTGCAGAGGATCGTGACGCCGTCAAACTTGCAGACGTACAATGCGGTCTGGCGCCTGATGCTCAAAGTCAAGTGGGCCGCCTGGAAGCTGGAGAATATGGTCTTCATTAGGCGTCCGCACAGGGACATGTATAAGCCGCTGGACATGCTAGGCCTCACCGTTCGCCGACTGGAGATCCTGCGGTTCTGGCTCATGTATCTGATCAACAGTCTGCACACCCACATTATGCAGGTCGTGAGCCACCAGTTCGAGCCACAGATTGCCAAGTGCCACAACATCCGGGAGCTGAGCTCTCTGCACGAGCAGTATATGCTGCTGCTGTCCAGTCACTGCCTGCTCACCGAGGAAACGGCTGCCTTTCGCATTGCCCTCGAGCAGCTCTTCCATGTGGTGTTTGTTCTGGACTTGGAATGGACCAGTTGCTCCAGCTACCTGGTCGACTCCCATCCACTCGCCCTGGATGTGTCCTCCGATGATGACGAAGACAACCCCAAGTGCCTGCAGTACTTGGCTCTCAACCAGGTAGTGGAAATTGAGATGACATACATACGTTGCCATCAAACGCTGGCCGAGATTCTCAATAATTTGGTCTACAAGCATGATCATCATTTCCGTGAGTGACTGAATGAGCGAGCGACGGTTGAATGGTTCTAAGGTTTTGTTTTGTTTCTCTCCACTCCATCTTTCAGTTACAGCGTTGGAGTCGGCCATCAACACAAGTGTACCCTACTGATGGAATCCTCTTACAGACGGAAGGATTGGCCTTCATCGCAGGATATCTGATGGCCAGGTCGGGCCAGGAGAATCGAATCTCAAGGAATCCCATTCACTTTGAACTCAAACCAATTGTTGTAACTTTTAAAGAACTTAAAAACTGATTACAAGGGTTGATTGGGAATCATTATGGGATTCGAGGGAAGCCTGTGCATTGATCGGTTAAAGATGCGATGCGAAACGGTTGGCTAGGAACACAATATTTATTTACTATATGTATAATGGATGGTGGCTTACAGGATATAACTATAATCTAGCATGGGTCTGTTGAGCAATATCTTGTGAATCTTATGAGCTGGGAATTGTGTACAAATTCGATTAGAGATTTCAGATTTTACTCGAGCGGCTTGAGATTAGTTGCATTGGGGGCTTACGTGATCTGTTTGCGGATGCTGATACCGATTGGCAGGTGTTGAGAATGTGTTCGATGTCAAAGTAACGGGCGCCAGTAAGCTTTGTGGGACTTTTGACCCTAGAGTCGTGACGCTTTGGTATCTACTGTCCTTTGGGGCTGGGCTCGACAGTTGGCTGCGCTTTCAAACCTTGGGACGCAGCTTACTTCCGATAGTGAAGGAAGGAGTTTCTATCCGGCCTTAAGCCATACTTTTATCGATGACTCAGCAGAGTGCTGCAGCAGGCGGCTTTTGCCCAGAGCCCTGGTATCCCTGGCAACTCTGGAAAATGACAACAAATGCAAAATGCAGGGAATAACGTGCTACTCGGTATCCGGACGAAGTAGCTTTATAAAGAGGCAAAACCTGTCAGGGGTGCCACAGTCGAAGAACGGAGCTCAAGGCATCTGACAGCTGACAAGTCCCGACCCCAAAGAGTATATCTGAGTCTCTGAAGAGAGAAGATCCAACAGTTTGCGGTTTGTCCAAGAGTCGAAAAATGTTCCAAGCGACTGAGCTGCGGTCCTGTCTGCTGCTCCAGATGCTGCTGGAGGCGAATGTCTACGTGTCCGCATTTTGGGCCGTGAACTATCTGCTCTACATAGTCGTACACGTAAGTTCTGGGGTGGATCCTCCCCAATGATCTGCATCGAAATAAACGAAGTTCCCTTCCAGATGGACCAGCCATGGAGCTTCGATACCTTGGTCCTGTTACTGGCATATGTGCTGGCCGTGGGCTCGGAGATAGTGCGTCTGAATGCCACCTTTGCGGTGAATCTACGCCCAGAGAACGCCTCGATGTGGCTGCTCTTAACAGTGACGCCGTGTGTCCTGTTCCCGTCCATGGTCTACCTCCGCCTATCGTTGGGAGATGACGCCCGCCTCTGGCCTCACAGCATCTCGTATGCGGTGCTGGCTCTGATCGGCCTGGAGGTGATTGCGATCCTGGTACACAACATAAGCAAAGAGCTGGATGAGCCAAATCGGCAACTGGCGGATGTTAGCACGCATCAGAGCCCTGCCCCTCAGAATGAGAATCAGAGGACGCCTCGCATGGACTAAAGCTCTGAGGTTTATTGTGTTGTTAGCGACAACAACCCTCTCTAACAGCATAAAATAAAATAAAATAAAAATAGGCTACTTTTAGCTACAAGCTAGATGCAACTGTGCAGAGTAAGTGCGCGTCTAAGGGGCAAGCAAAAATCATCCATCTATCCAAACGGGAATGAGCATCCCAAGGCACCAGCTAGTGGGGAACTTCATCTAGGTTGTGAGCCTTGAGCAGTGCATCTATCTTGTTCAACTGGGCCCGCATGGTGGGCAAGTAGTCGGACATGACAGCGAGGTTCTCCTCCTGATCCTCGCCCTGACCGAGCAGCTGCTTGCGTGTGGGTACCCATGCGTAAATGATCTGGAAGAGAGCATTAGCAGTGTAATTTAAGATGGAAAAAGGCGGAAAATAGCCTCACTCCTCCTTACCTTAATGGTACTCTGCACGATAAAGCCGTGGTACTGCTTCAGGGTGCGCTCGTAGGCATTCTGCAGATGATGCTTGAGCGCCTCCTGCTTCTGGTCATCGTTGTAGATGTTCTCGAAGAAGATGCAAATCAGCTGGAGGCCCCGCTTCAGCCAGAGCAGGGCATTGGGGGCCACGTTCTCCCCCTTTATATTCAGGACGATCATATCCTCCAGATAATGGTGCTTGAGCACATTCTCGCCGTAGACTCTGCTTAATTTCTGACGAAAGATACACAAAGTGGGTTGAAGTACCTACGTTGGAATCGGGTCTTGGGTTTGTTTCTCTTACATCTATATTTCCATTCATGTCGTTAATCACGGGCGTAAATAGCTTGCCAAAGGTTTCTGCCAAAAAGAAATAAACGAAAAATTATCGTCGTACAAAACTGGTTAGATACTGTGTCTGTGTCTGTGTGATCAAGTGGGGTGCGTCTGGTACTATCACCTATAACTGTCACTATCTCTAGGGCGGCGTCGAGGAACGCTCGAGTTTCGATCTTATCGGCGGCATTGCCCGGAAATCCCTTCAGCGCCTTGAATTGTATGCGTGCTGCTGATGCGCTCATGGTTCTCGAGTTCTTTGGTTCTTGGGTTCTTGAGTTCGCTGCGTCTGGGTCTGCGTCTGCAGGGCAAATGAAATGGAAATTGAAATCGAATATGATAGTGATAGTGAAAGTGAAAAGGAAAACCAAAATAATAATTCAATGCTCAAGCAGTGCTTTGCTTTATGGACACCAATTGGTTATCTTATCAGCAAGCAGCGCACCTGCTCAACACCTCTGCCTGCACCAAACTACGAATATTTCAACTCTACTTTGTCGAATCAGTTTTCACTATTGAACCCCGTTCGGTGCTACCGTTGCCTTCCGTTCCCGCTGTGCTCTTCGCTTTTCGCCGTTCGCCGTTCGCTGCTCGCTGCTCGCTGCTTGTGTCCACTGCTCTGCTGTGTCGTCGATAGTGAGAACGAATAGAATACAAGTTTGCCGCGTCGGCCAAGACGCTGACGCTGACGCTGACAGTGCCAGTGCCAGTGCCATTGACGCTTCGGGAGAGCGGGCTCTCAGTAAGCCGCAGTAACCCCTTTTAAGATGCGGCCAAGACCCAGGCCAAGCGCATTCACTAGTAAAAAAGAAGGTGCCACTCTCTCTTTCTGTGTCGCGCGCGCTGGACCGCGACTGTGTCAAAGTAGGTGACAGTCTGTTAAGTGAGCGATTTCTGGAAATGCCTCACCTCAACACTAACAACTTGCGAAGTACGACCAGTCGGTGCCGTCGTTCCCCAGAGAGTAAGTAAGCTCGGGCTCAACTGACGACAGCGATCAACCGAAGCCACGCTAAGCACCCGAAGCACCCGAAGCACCAGCTGCGTACGAGTATGTGTGTGTGGTGTGTGTATGCGCCTGTGCGTGTTCGTGTGTGTCTCCTCGACAAAGTCGCCTCCCCGCTGGAAAAGTTCACCGAGTCACTTTAATTTTCCATTTTTTAATCGAAAATGTATCTTCTGATTTTACATATGTAACTTTTTTTTAGTTTCTTCTTTCGCTTTTGGTTTTAAAGAATTTATGGTAACGCTTGTCAAAATCTGTATCACACTTGCCAATCATAGGTTTATTTTTGTTAACAAACAGCAAGGAACGGCAAATATTACGAACATATGTAGCTCCATATGGTCCAAGAAAGGATTACAAGATTTCTGGGCCTGCTTTTCACATCATTCAAACGTCATATTTCGGTTTTTATTGAAACATTTTAATTTAAAAAATAAACTATAGAAAATAATGAAAAATACAAAATAACATCTAAAATAAATGTAATTAATGTGTAACACCCAGAAAGAAGCGTTACCGACCCTGTAAAGCATATATATTCTTGATCAGCATCAATAGACGACTCGATATACATAGCCATGTCTGTCTGACCGTCCCGATGAGCGCCTAGATCTCAGAGACTTTATATCCAGTCTCCTGTGATATTCAACGGTTACAAGTCTAACCCTGCCACGCCCCCTCCGGCCTCGACAAAGAATTAGAATCTCTGGACAATATATCTGACAATATCTACCAGATTTCTGAACCTGGATCAGATCAAATGAATATTCTAGCCAGAAGGAACAAATGACATTGCAGTGGACCCCTGCAGACCCCTACAGACCCCCGCCACGCACCACTCATTCTCTCTCTCGCCCACTCTTCCTCTTCCTCGTGCAGTGTCCGCCTTTTGGCGGAGGGGCATACTTTGGCATAAATAAAATGGCTAAATACACAATACAAGACTGGGGTAATAAATTGAAAACATCCCAAAGAGACGTATTATTATGTATGAAATGCATAAGAAACTCCCAAAACTCCCGATTGTATTCCCTGTCCCTCTCTTCAACGGCAGCTTGGCATTGAATGTGTTTCGCCTGCCAGCGGTGCGGCTCCTATGGGGGACACTGAACGCGTAATCCCAGACAAGACACGCCTATGTCATGTCCTCGCCAGCATTAAAGCTCGCATTGTATTGGGGACCAACGAATCGTATCTGAAACTGAAATACGAGAGGCCCGGAATTTGTAATTTCTTCAAAAGATGGTCCCACGCTGAGGTGAATAGATTATTGGCACGATGTACTCTCGACACACTCTGGGACCAGTTTCGGTCCATGGGGAGAGCCGTGGATCTCCATGCAGACATACATTTACGCATATATTCTGTCATAATATCTCTGTCATGTCAGACGTAAAGGATGCCTGAATGCAGAGGGTATGCTGTGGGAGTACAGGAGACCATGTACAGAGATCTTATATGGAAAGTGGCAACGGGCCAAGGGAGCGAGATCCTCCATGTTCATGCCTGCCCTAGGATTGGATTTGAGAACTGAGCGCAAAACCAGAAGAGGTTGGGGGTCTGAATATGCATAGTCTCCTGCTGTGCGCTGTCTGATGTCCGTGTCTGATGTCTACATATGTGTGTCGAACTAGGGGGCGTAGTCGAAAATATGCTAGGGGGCTGCGGCATTTCGAGAGTTATGTCGTTACCGAGGGAGGGGTCCCCACGAACAAGATAGGACTAATGTGTGCTAGTGCGTGTCTCCTGGCCCTTGGCCTGCTCACCTGACAATCCTCATCCACACGCGAGTGTTTGCTCCCAAGGATGCGGGGTAAGATTGTCCTTGTCCAGAAGGTTCTCCTGCCTATGACAAACTCCTTTGGGCATATTCTGTGCGTTTCATATATTTCATATTTCGATTCAGCCAGTCCACTTCCAGTCCGCTTCCAGTCCCCGCTATTATTCCACTTCCAGTCCACTGCCACTATTCCACTTACAACCTCTGAAGCCCGATGGATGACCTCTTCTTTCGCTGCGGCGATGGTTCAGCGATCAGCTTCGTTCGACCATTGGTTTTGGTTTTGGTTTTGGATTGTTGTGTCCCTCTGCTGCCGCCGCAGGGGTGGCCGAAAATGCATGTTGCATGCCCTCCTGGTGGAGAACCTGTGAGGTGAGGTTCTTATTCTCACATCATCTCCCTATTTCGGGGAACGTAGAGAAATGGTCACCTCGTTTCGCTTGTTGAAGCGCACCCGGAAGAGGATGCCTGACGCGCTGTACAGGAAGCTGCGGTGCAAGTTGCGGCCCTCTCGCTCCTGCCCTTCCACGTGCTCGATTAGTCCCTGCGGCAGGTGGCGGTTGTCGATCCGGACCCTCCAGTGGGCAGGCGCCTCCACCCACCCCTCCAGGGGCGATGCTTGTGGACGCGACAGGGTGCCTGTCTCCTCAGGGTCCACTATGACGATCAAAGGCTTCATGGAGTCCTCCTGGTTCGGCGAGAGGCTGCGGATGTGGTAGGTGACGTGCGGGTTGGAACGTGTGCCGGCACCGCGCTGCTGCTGTAGCCACGCTCGGGCCGCTGCGGAGGTGCTCGGGCCCTCGTCGAGGGCAGGGTATGCTGTCGGGATGGCGATGGCGATGGCCAACGCGCGCTCCGGGGTTGAGGCTGCGCTGCTTGTCTCGCTCTGATATCGCAGCCACTGCCGCACAGCGGCAGATGTGCTCGGCCGCTCGCCTTGGTCTGGATAGCTTCCTGTTCCGGTGCCGGTGTTGGTGCTGGTTCCGGTTCCGCTTCTGGCCTTAGCCTTGGCATTGGTCCTGGCCCTGGCCTTGGCCACCACGGACTTGGTGGCGATGTGCAGGGCACGCTCATGGCTTGAGACTCCTCCACTGCTCGTCTCGCTCTCGTCCCAAGCCGTGGCGTCCAGGGGACTCTCCGGCTCTGGCGACGGACAGGGAGTGACGCTCGGTGTGTCGATGTCCTGTAGGATGCGATCGTCGTGGGATCTTGCAGCGGCCGGTGGGGTCGGAGGCTGGGACTCCGGCGTCAGAGCCAAGGAACCTGTGGGCTCGGCAGGCTCCTCGAGCTCCTCGAGATCCGCCAGGTCCTCGACGAAGGCCCAGTTGTGCTCCAGATTGGGGTCGGTCGACACGCTCTCATCCTCCCACGGCATCGGTGTTGGGGGTCGGGGTGGCGTCAGTTCCTCCGCCTCGTTGTCCGGATTCGAACCCGTCGACCAGCTCTGCTCGTCCCAAGGCAGCAACATCGGGAAGCGCGGCGCCTTGCGTGCCGGCTTGTTTTCGTTGCTGGCTTCTTTTTCTGCTGGTGTTGGGGGCAGACGGTCGCCCAGGGCCTCGTCCGGCTCGGGAATGGCCAGGGCGGCCCAGAGATGTTCCGCACTTGGAAGCGGGTCCGCCAGCCCCGGAATGGGGAGTCTCGGATGTCCGGCGTTATGACCTACGGCTCTGCCGCGGTCTGCGGGGTTCGGCATGTCGTCCCCATGCCCGGCATGGGTCCGCATGCGGACATCCTCGTCTCCGGCGTCGAGGGCCTGAGGCTCTTGGGCCTCCTCGGCGCGGCGCACTTTGCGTTGCGACTCAGACATTCTGTGGAGAAGCAATTGTTGGTTAAATTCCCTCCTTAAGTCCCGAGTACATAGGTCCCCAGAAGCTACATCTCTGACCTTTTCGGACCTATGCGTGGGATCTAGGAGATCACAGCCACCGGCCGCTGCAGATCTTTAACAGGGGCCCTTGCCACCTAATCCCTGGTCGTCCCGACTGCAATCGCTGTACAGGAGTTTGTTTGAAAAATGTACAAGCTTCAGTTCTGTCTGATTTACAACCAAATCCTCTGGGGACAGCCCTATTGGGTACAACAGTATCTTGTATCTTGCAAAACCGTGAGCTCTAACAGCGCTCCCTTCCCTCAGGGGCACCACTCGGTGCCATGGCATTTGTTTCGCCTACCAGCGGTGCGGTTCCCATGGGGTACACGGTCCGCGTAATCCCAGAACAAGACACTTTCTCGAATTATCAGATTAATTATGTAGGCCTCTTTTCGCAATTTGATTTTCAGATTTTCAGCCCGTGTCTGGCGAGCCCTCTAATACTGATTGGGACTCTACTTAGAGGCACTTAGGGCTAGAAATCAAGGCTTGAATCAGTAACCCGCTGCAGCTGGAGCAGCAAAGAAATTTCAAACGCAGGTTTATTCCAAGACACTCCTCCTCCGTGTGGCTCTTCAAATCCGGAGGAAACATTAGGTTTCAATGTGAGGTGAGGTGAGGCGGGGCGTGGCGAGGCGGGGGGTGTATCCATCAGGATAAGCAGAACAACTTTTCGCATAAAGAATCCCGGCTTCGAGGGTGTGTTTCTAGGTTATCTATAGGTGATACGTATGCACATTGTATAGGATATGGGTTTTGTTCAGATCGACGATAAGATCCGATCTGATAAGGCAGTGGACGGACACTGGTTCGGCCACTGATCGTTGAGATCTACTGTCCTGTAGGTACCCGCAACTCTGCAGAGTCGGAAGTTCTTCTTCTACAATAACACTTGACCTGCGGTTAAGGCTTCCCTCGCTTGCGTTCAAAACAAATAAATACGGATACGTATAATGGCCCTAAAAGTGTTCTGCATTTCCAAAGGGGTCCTTCAATTGAGTGTGAAATATGATGGCCAGATGCCAGGGGCCAGGAGGTCCACATTACAGGATTAAAAATTCAAAACAAAAGGTTCCAGCGTCCCCCCCGAAACGTATCATAATCCATTGGCAAATCTATACGCAAGTATTTTTAGAGCCGTTTGGGAGCCACTCCAGTTGGGGCTGCTGTCCTGCAGTTCTACCCAAATATAATTACACTTAATAGGAGGAAAACTGATTTTTCTTGTGGGGTTCCTGCTATCATTACATGGCCATTATTTATATTGTCCATAGTCCCCCTCTGGGCGGAGGGTGGACAGGGATACCCCCCTGTAAACGTTTCCTCAAATTGAAGGCGCCGGTGCGGTTCCCATATTTTGGCTGTCCCTCCTGGCGGTACTCCAAGAGTTAGTGATATATTATGGTTGTGGGGGATGTGGATTGTGTAACACCCAGAAGGAAGCGTTTCCGACCCCGTAAGGCACATATATTCTTGATCAGCACCACCAGCCGAGTCGATATGGCCATATCCTTCTGTCTGTCCCAAATCTCAGAGACTACAAGAGCTAGAGAAAACTGATTTTGTATCCAGACTCCTGTTATATGAGCGTCTGCCTATAAAGATATGCAAAATATGCGAAAACCCAGAGAAGTAGAGCATGCTCACATCTGCTAGACTGCAGAATCAGACTGAATCAGATCAGAGCATTATTATAGCCAGAAGGAACAAGTGATATTTCAGTGGCTTCGATAGCGGTAGCTTTAGCTGCATTTCTGTCTCTCTCTCACACACTCTTCGTCGTGCAATGTTTGCGCCCTCTGGCGGTGGTATAAATGTAGAGTCGCGGCCGCAGCTGCGACCATCAACGTCCCCCCTCGTTTTTTCTAGAATATGTCTATGGTTTCCTTCAGTCCTGTCCTGCAAAGGAGACTCCGTTCAACTGGTGGTCATTGGTGGTCATTGAGTGAGAGCAGCCGCAAAGTCGTGCATCATTCGGAGATACTGGGATTACTCACCTAGTGGGAATCGGCCTCGGCCTCGGCTTCGGCTTCGGCGTCGTCGCAGGCCAATCTCTTGGTGTCTCCGGACGCGGTCAGGACGAAGACGTAGTGCGTGCGCTGCTCGGCCAGGAGGTGCCACAGGGAGGCGGGTAGCTGGAAGCGGTGCTCCTGCTGTTGCTTGTCGCCGGCGCACAGCTCTTCGTAGTGGGCCACCAGGCTGTTGAGGTTGCAGCGCAGCTCGACGAGCCGCAGCGGCGTCGAGGACACGATCTCGCGGCTGGCCTTGGACAGGTGGATGGCCGCCGCCGTCTCAGTGGCAGAGGGAGGGTTCGGGCTCAGCCAGCGGTGGTGGGCCAGTATCACGGCACAGTTGCGGGCAAAGTAGAAGCTATCGTTGCGCCGCTGGCCGTGGTAATTGTCCAGAAGCTGGCTGCTAGGCTGCTTCAACTTCAGTTGGGTGAGCCGACTGCGAGTATTGGTCCCTGCTGCTGCTCCTGCTGCTGGCAGCGTGGCGGACGAGTACGACTGGTCCACAATTCGCTGCGGCAAATGCTCGGTGACCTGGTCAACGGTGAGGACGCGGTTGAGGTAGTCGAAGCCCTGGCCCATCACACCGTTCAGGGTGTGGCCCAGGTCAAAGCAGTGACCCAGCTCGTGGCAGACGGCGCCCAGGGTGCTGGCGTAGACGCCACCGTAGGTGCGTCGGTAGTTGCTTTCGTCCGGCAGCCGCGCGACGTCCACTCGCTCTGCGCTGCGCACGCAGTCTCCGATCTCCGCGAATGCTCGCGGCCAGGAATAGAAGTGCGCACTCCCGAAGAGGGCCAATCCTCCGCCCCCCAATGCGGCGTGGCCGCGCAAGTGTCGCCGGATGTTCGCGTACGAGAGGTCTCCGCTGGCCGCTACTGCCGCGCCGTCGTACCGCGTGCAGGCCACAAACGCGACAAACTTGAGATGTAGCTGCTGGCCCCACTGCGCACAGGAGAGGATCTCCCCGGCAAAGTGCTGCCACAGCTCGTCCTCGGTCTTGGCGAGGGTCTCTTCGGTAGTCAGTTGGCTGCGGAAGAGGCGACAGGGGCCGTTAAGGGTAAAGGTGCGATTGGCAAACCCGGCCGCGTGCAATTTGTGGGCGTAAATGCACTGCACCAGTCGCAGATTAAGATCGATAAGTGAGCAGCGGGCAGAGTGATCTGAACGTGCGTTTTTTTCCTTTTCCTGCTCCTGTTCCTGCTCCTCCTCCTTTTCGTCCTGGCACACTATGTAAAGGGGCTGCACACGGTAGGGGCTGCTGCGTGGCTTGTAGGTGAATCGAATCAGCCTCGAGCCGCTGCAAGAGCGCAGCTGCAGGAGGCAGGCTCTGGAGGTCACTGCAGGCTCCTCCTGCCTCTCTCTCTCTCCTTTGTGCAAATCAAAGAGGAGCTTGAACTCCCCAGCGCTGGACAACTGCGTCAGCTGTTCCAGCGACTCGTCGCGCAGCTCGAGGGTCGCTTTTAGCTGCTTGGCCGCGCTGCACTTGGGCTCCAGCCGGCCCTTGATCAGCAGAAAGCTGTGCTGCACCTCTTCAGAGTCCTGTAGTTGCTCGACTTCGATGCTGTGGATGCGCTTGCAGCCAGTGACGCTGCTATTCATTTCTCTCCTCCACAGTTTCCATCGACTTATCCAGCCGGCGTCCGCAAAAAAAACACACCCACACACTCACACAAAAAAATATGCAGACCCAGACGACACGACGATGCGCACAAGACAAGCACAAGCGCACAAAAAAAACAAAAAAACACAAAAAGCTGTCAGAACGCAATGTAATTGGAATCGATTGCAGGTGCTATCGCAATCGAAGGCAGCCGTGCGCGCGCCCAATTCAAAAAAGCCCACAATGCTCCCCACTCAAAGCGACTTTCTTCAGAGCTGTTCACCCCGGTTTCTCGGGGTTCACGATGCGGTCGCCCCATCCCATCAGACAGACAACAAGAATAAGATAGGCGTGAATTACGAAAAAAAAACAGGTTTTTATTGTAGAACTTAGAACTATTCTCGTATGCTGTATATGCTGCCCAAGCAATGAACAGATCGATGCGAGGGTCGATGGTCGATGGGTTCGGCCTTTGAGAAATGGAAGTAAGAGCACACACGACTCGACCTTGAGCAGTGCAGAAGCGGGATCACATGGAGCAGTAGCACATGGAAGATTGGCCTAAGAGCAGGAGCTAGGAAAGGGCTCCGTCTTTAGAAACTACAACTACTACGTTAGCTGGCCGTTGTGCGCAGTGCGGTACTTGACCAGCTGGTCCATGTACTTGTCGTGCTTCTCCAGAGTGGCCAGCAGTCCCTCCGTGTTAACCGGCGACTCATCCGGGCCGTAGCGGATCAGTTGGTCGTTGAGAGTGGTCATGGTGCCGCCCAGGGCGTGCAGTATGGCATCTCCGGCACAGATATCCCACTTCTTGATCTTTGAGGTGTGCAGGTAGGCGGTCGCATTGTTAGCCACCACCTGGAGCACCTTGTACCCGGCCCCGGCGGCCGTCAGCAGATTGACCTGCTCCCCAAAGATGCCGCGGGCTAGATCCTTGGCACCGGCGGTGTGCGAGCGCGAAACGGTGATGATGGGCAACTCATTCTCCTGGCCATGCGGCGGATGAAGTCCTGCGAGATATTCGGACATGGAGTTACCCACCCAGGCCCATGCAGTCTGGCCATTAAAGGGGCTGTGGATAACCCCAATCACGGGACGACCGGCCACGGCCACGCACACCATGGTGGTGACATACTCGTACAGCTCCTCTGCAGATCGGGGAGAGGATTCCGTTAATTGAGGCAATTTAAGAGGTTATATTTAATTTACCAGTAAACTCCTTGGTAGCATCCAAAGGATCCACCCAGACTGTGACATCCTGGGCATTGACAGACACGTCCGGCACCTGGGCGGTCTCATGCAGGACCGTGGGATCCAGATCGTAGCTGTGCGACTCTTTGCAGTGCTCCTTGTCCTCCTCTGAGAATATGCGGACACGTGGAAATATGCGCTGCAGGCCCTGCTTCATGACGCAGTGCGAACGACCGTCGGCATCGGTAAACGGATCGTTTACGCCTTCGTCCGTTTGGCCCTTGCTCCGCTCTTTCAGCTGCCGGGAGCGGGCCACGTCGAGCACCTCGAGACCGCCGCGCTGCGAAGCCTGGATGGCGGCGATCAGCATCTTGCGCAGGTTCACCCGGTTGGGATTGTCGCTGCGCAGCTTGCCATAGATGGCCGGCCGCTCCTCCTGGTGGAAGTTCAGAAAATAGACCAGCACAATGGTCAGCAGGATGGCGAAAATGGTGGCTGGCACCCGATTGATACGTATGGAGCGTCCGTTCATCTTACTGGTGCTCTGGCTGCTGGTGAAGCACATCGGGAGTTGAGAGGTCGGCAGCAGGTGAGACCAGCGGAGCGGTTGACTAGCGGAGCGGCGAGGAGAACGTCAGAGACTGGCAGCGGCGGGGCACTGCCAGATCACCAATGTCTTTGATGCTGTATCTGTATCTCTGGCTGTATTGTATCTGTATCTGTATCAGTATCTGTATCTCTAGCCGTGGCTGTATTTGTGGCTCTTCTGTTTGCCTTCGACTCTAGCACAGCAGTACCAGCTAAGCCAACAACAATCCACCTGGGCAAAATGAAGAGGCAGAAAAATTAGAACGCAAACGTGCCGCCAGCGGCAGAGCTGCTGCTCTAACACGTCCACGTTGCGCGTTTTCGTATACCCCACTTCGTCAGGGGCTTTAAGACAAACAAACAAAAACAAGTGGCCGAATTAATGCGGAAACGGCAATAGACAATAACCACCAGCTGTTCCAGGCTATCGATAGTGTGTGGTGTTTGTTAAATATATATCGATAACAGTGGCTCACAGCTTCATTGAACACAGATGAATTGTTATAACTTATAAAAAAAATCAAATAGGCTGTTTACACTAGGGCTGCGTTATGCGTCTTTGCCTCTTGCCGGAGACGCAGTTTTGTTTTACACAGGATAAGCATAAGGGCATAGTGTGTCTATTCGTAATATTTGGCATCTGAAGCCACTATCACCACTAATAAAAAATAACAGCAAGAAAGCAAATCAAATTTTTTGCGGAGAAGGGTAAAGCTAGGCAGATTAAGTAGGTTTTCATACCATTCATTACAAAACGTCAGTCTTTTCAGATAATAAAGTCAGTTACAGAAAGAAGAAGCTATGGCAAAACAAATGGCAGAGAAATGGGCCAACGTTGATCAGAAACTCCAGGAAGACTCAAAAGCAGTTGAGCGTCTGAATGAAGAGATCAGACAATCGGAAAATCGTCTGGGCGTGAGGATAAAGCAAATGGAAAGCCGACTCGAAACCCGTCTTGAAAATCGGCTCGAATATAGACTAAGTCAATGGGACAAACGGCCGTAAAGCGTGCCCTGGAGCATCGCTATGGTGGTGATCATAGGCGTGAAATTTAACGCCTGAAGCTGAAGGGCAGGGTGCAACGTTATGGAGAGTCTCTTCAAGACTCAAGTTCGCGACGCAAGAAGAACGTTCGAGGAACGGAGTTTGAAAAGTAGCCGATTTCAGAGCCGATAACATTTCATAAACAAATTACTTTCAAAATATTTGCTTATTGACACGATGCACGCTGAATACCCTAATGACAATTATCCTAATATAAAGTCATGTATGAAATGCATTATTATGTATTTTGTACATATTGGCCTTTCCGCGGAAATATAGCGATATTTTTTTGTAATTGATTGAAAGCAAATTTAACCATTTGGCATATAATATCATGAACCTGGATCTGAAAACCTATTAAGATAAGCAAAAGCAAACTAAGCTGTTGGTTAAGGAACTATGATGTGATTTATGGGAGCACTAATAGAGATATCCTATTGTGTAAATAATCGATAGAAACTTATATAAATCATCTTTTCAAATAACTTAATTGCTTTCGAATATTCCAACCCGTTCTGCAGAGTTTTCGATTATACTAGATTAAGCTAAAATCGACAAATATTTCGAATCGGATATGAAAAACCTGGGTACAATTTTTGTTTTCTATGAACGTATGTTCGGGACCGGACCCTTAATTCCCATTTGCATGCACATCTGTACATTCGCTAGTTATATTCGTATATTCTCTATTAAACAATTTTATTATATTATAAATAATATATTATTAAATAATTATATTCTTAGATTCCGCTCACGAACACGTGTTTAACAATGGCTTCCACCAATAAAATGCTACAATGGTAGACTATGGTCCCAACGACCACCTATGTTGGCCAAAATTAATAACTCACGAACGAAACAAGATTTTTGTATTTAGTTTTTTGTTTTGTATATAAATCGATAAGCAGTGTATTTAAAAAACAATACTGATATTTGCAGAGATCCTTGTCTAAAAGCAGGGCTAACGCCTCGTTAGGTAAGATAGGTGCCGGCTTTCCGACTGGGTCCTGTACAGCCTTACGAACTAATTTAGCCTTCTCTGGGCATAAATATAAACGTTTTAAAACAAATGCGTGCTCGTATTTGCCTCGTTTTCGTGGGGCCATGCTTGCCGCTTGAATCAATAAATTCATTTTTCCTCCCTCTGATACAATAAGATTTGCCTTCTTTGTGCTCTGCGATCTTTTTTGGAATATAACAGTACAGGGCGTCCCACTGACTTTAAGACTTTTGGCCAATCTACATATTTTCGTTCAAACAACTTTGAATCTGACCTGCATTTTTCCCGTTTCGTTGCCGAACGATAACAAATTTTCAATTCAACTGACATGTATGTCGCCATTAAGAGTCGTTTTCAAAAATTTGAGTACCGCATTTTCCCTACCCATCTCTGAATCCCATACGGCAAACAACTCTTCATTTTCGAATTTGAGGTTACGATTTATTCAAATGAAAATTTCAAGAATTGTGGTGAAAAGTGGAATTTCTTACTATATACATTTCAACGAGAATATATCAATCTACGACACACAAAAGGTTTCAGGGTAAGACTACGTAGGACTCATTTTGTATACCTTTTTAGAAACTAGTTTTCATTACAAGTTGGCAGGTGCTGAACGACTCACTTTATTCTACAATTACGAAGACATCACAACTTCTAGATACCGACTGATTAAAATTCATCACAAAATTTAATTTTTCTTGTCGTTTTTCAATTTTTGACAGATTTCAAGTTGTTATTAATCAGGCAGGCTCCGTTTTTCATTTACATTTGCGGATTATGTTTTCACATATTTTTGCTATTTGCACCAAAATTAAAATTGTTATTGCCTGACCAATTTTATCCGAGGCAAATTTGAGATCTGGTTAAAATGATATTATTTATAAAGAAAGCAAAAGTCAAATTATGAATATGATATTTTTCACTGCACGTGCTTTTCGATAACAACAGCTGGGTTGAACAGCTGATTTTGCGAATGTGGTGACATCTATGTAATTTTCTGGTACGCAGCTTTGATGATCACTCTTTTTCTAATGCAGAGTGATCAAAGTTTTACTTTTTAAAATTAGGTTTTGGCCAACAAAAGTGGTCGTTTGGATACATTAGGATATCACAGGAGTGGATAGTAGTAGCCAGATGAATCGGACGGCAACTACCTGTCCGTACGAAGGGAGAGCGAGAGGGTTCGAAGTACGGTTAAAAAAAGGATATGAAGCAAAGATAAAAGTAAAAGGTGATATTTTTAAATATTTATACATATGTTCCTATATAAATATGTAAATGTACATACACGTATCCGTATGTCGTATCCGTATCCGGCCTGCAAAGTGGATGTGAAATCCTGTTAGGGTGCACTGTGGCTCCCTCAAATTTGAGATCTCCTTTTGGTGGGCATTCAAATGGAATATGTTGCGTTGTTTCGTGCTCCATTCTACTGAACCTACAAGATTCTATCTCTAGTTTAAATTTATTGAGGTGATATCTCAGGCAACTCTGTCCTTTCTATACCCGGTTTTCAAAGAGTACAGGATGTGTAATGGGGTACTATGGATGGATGCTGCAGTTCCAGAATATGCACCACGAGCAGATTAGCAGCAGGCATTCGAGATGAAACCCAAGGCTCTAGCCGGCTGGTCGACGCGTACCATGTTATATTGTCGTACTACTGAAGATAACACGGCTGGGAATATTGGTGTGGGTGGCGTGGAACCACCGGCAGGCCCCTGACCACTGGCCCAGCCCTGCAGATGGTTCTTCACATGGTGTGGTGCGCGACAAAAAGCCGTATCACCGAAAGTTCTCGGAGGCGGAGCCCCTACCTGTTATCCGGGAGGCCCGGGACACATTGCAATGATGTGAATTAAATGTTAATGCATCAGTAAGTAGCATTTTTTCATTTGGATTTAATATTCGTTTGCGTTATATTTCGATGAGAAAAAGTTTCCGTTTTGAGAAAGTTTTCCGAAAATGAGAGCGCCAATTTTTCAATAGACTGAAAGATCGCTATAATTCTAACTATTGAAATCGAAAATAAATTTTAGTTTTTTAAATAATATCTAAAACAAAAAAAAGGGGAACATACAAAAATTATCTAATATTTGTACTAAAACACTAAAATCCAAAATAAATTAAATTTTTTTAAATAATTAAAACAAAGAAGAAAAAACGTACGGATGCCTCATTTATATATTTTATAATATGTAAAAACTGTTGTTTTTTGTTTTCTTTATGAGAACTATTGTAACAAGCTGGATTCAATATCAGCGTTATAATATATTAAAAAATATTAAATATATCGATATTTTTCAGCGATATATTCCTTTGTTCATGTAGGATTTGAAATTTTAAATATGTTTTACGCGCGAGTTTTTTATATTGCAATTCATTGCTTTTTAGGGCTGCATTTGTAAACTATCGACTAAACATCGCATAGAAGAGTAACATCCCACAGGGATGGTGGAAATACTGAGAAATTTGTGGAGAGGAAATTGCAGAAATGGATGGTGGCCAGTGTGAATAAGGTATATGGGCACAGAAAAATAGCGTCGATTTTCCCTGACCACTAACCATACCATACCATAAATACAGTACCATACAGTATATTGATGTGCTAACACAAGCAAGACGTCTTAACAGAAATTTTTGCGACAGTTCCCGGAGCAGACTGACCAACAGACCAGAGAACGACTTTGGGTAATTGCAAAAATGTTCATGCATGAAAATCAACAGAATAAACTACTTTAGCGTTGACGGATTCTACATTTTTCAAGCTTGTTTTTGTTTCGGCTCTTTGATCCTTCGGCTCAACAAGGATCGTATTGATTGTGATGATAAACACAGTGAGTAAATATCAATTCATATAGAATTATGGTCGGCGCGAACCGAATGCCTTTTCGGGTGGGAATTCGTACTATCGGCTCTCATCGGGTCGCGTTAGTAAGAAACACACAAATGTTAGATAAGATTGTATTATTGAGTATAAATGTATGCGAAGGATGGCGTTTTGGCAGCACGAGTTGATTCTATTATGATGATACATTCCACAAAATGTGCTGAAAAGCCTGACCAAAAAAATATCGCCTTCAAATATATTATCAACAAATATTAATATCGATATATTGATGTATATTGATACAAATATATATTGATATATACAATATATTCTGAACGTTCATCCCTAATTATGAGGTTGTTGCTGTGTGGCGGCGCTCCCCTCCAAAGCGCAAAGCGGAATCCCAATTGAACGGAAATTTTGTCTTGTTTCCTTTTCTTCTGTTCAAATATAACAAAATTTTTTTGCTGTTATAATT